CAACGACCTAGCTCTAAAACCGCAAAAGAACTGCTAATGCTGAGCAGGAATAAAGTGCGGATTACAACAAGCCTCTTGACAGGACACATGGCTGTCAAGTGTTACCTGAACAAGCCCAACCTGTATCAAGGAAGTGTTTGCTGCAGACTCTGCGATAAAGATCCTGCAACAACGGAGCACATAATATGTCACTGCTTTATAATATATTTTAAATACTTTTGTGCATAAAAGTAAAGCACTTTTATGCCTAGGCGTTAAAATAGCGTGTTTATATTGCCAATTACGTCGCAAATATTAATACTTTTGCCGCGTTTAGAAAACTATTTTGTAAATGGATGAATATTTAAAAAAACATGATATTTGTAGCATTTTACACTATGCCCTTTTGTCTTTGATTTTAATTCACAACATTATTGCAAAGTAATCTTGGCGTATATACCACGAAATAAACCAATAAAGCGATACGATTGTGCCCCAAAAGATTGATAAATACATCCAATTTAGCTACAAAGCCGAAAATCGAAGAGCCGGGGATTTAGCTGAATGGCATGTGATTTGAATTGACGACGTCATGTTTGTCATATTTCGATGAACGATGAGGTTGGTAGAGTTGGAGTAAGCAAAAAATCAGTATTTTTTATGGTAAATAAAAGGTATTAAAAAGAATAAAGGTATAATAAATGTGTATTTCCTACTCATAGTTTGACGTTATTAATTAATTAATTAAAAATACCTTACTATAATATACCAAATCATCATATTTTTATACTCATGTTTATTTTTTTAGTGAACAATTTGCTCCATCTTAAGGAGTACTTTAAAAAGTTTCAAATACATTTTTCTGCCAAATAAAATGGAGAAAACTTATTCATCATTTTTAAAATTTACATGGGAAGTAATATACAAAGAACATTGTCCAAAGTTACACATATGGATACAAAGTTTATACGCACATAATAGTTTTATCAATGTTATTAACACAGCGAAAATTTGCTATAAGTTTGCATTCCAATATCGTTTTGTGCAGGCTCAAGTAGCTAAAACAAAGGGAAGGATAGGTTTATATGTTAACCCTGTTCTAAAAAGAAATAAATAGAAAAATGCATGACCTATTCAAGAAAAAAAAATTGGCGCCGGGAGGCACGTATAGCCGCCCATACTAAAATATGTTAATAAAAAGTTGGTAGACAGTTCTTTTAGTGTCAAAGTAAAGGAATTTTTCCAATTTTGGTCCGCGGTTATTTCTCCTATCCGCCACCTGGGGTCGCGTCCGATGGGAGTTTGGAGTTCTTCACACGGATTTTCTCAAAAACGGACTACGGAAACACGGAATATCTCAAAAACTGCGACTTTGACTGATTTTGATGTTATTACAAATTTTGTTGCAAATATTATTCCTAATCTTAAATTCAAAACCGCGTTTCACTAGCTACTGTAATTTTGGAGTAACAATTTTTTAAAATTTTTAACTCCCACCCATACCCCCTTACCAATCCCCCACCCCCACCAAAAACGAATAGCCAGATTCTCGGGTGCCACAGTATTTTGTGCCAAATTTGGTTAAAATCTGTTTAGCGGTTTTTGAGTTATCGTGTTACAGACAGACGGACAGAGAGACAGACAGACAGACCGACAGACACCATGAAAATATTTTGTATTTAGGTCATTTATGACCCAAATAACTCATTTTGAGTGAAATTAAAAAAACTTTTTTTTGCCGATCTTAATAGCCTACCATACTTGTTGGTATGGTCAGCTAAAAATTAATATCTTATGCTCTAGTTTTCTCTACCAAGTTTAGAGGATCTATAAAAACATACTGACGTAAATAGAAATAAAATTTCATATTTTATAATTGAACTTTGACATTCAAAAATGGCAATTTTATTGCTACACTTTTTAGGGTGTTAAATATAAAATTGAATCATTATTGTAAATTACTAAAACTATTTAAACTAAAATTATTGATTAACTTATTAATATTTTTATTTAATAACTCGTAACTCTCTAAACAATAATTTCATTCATATTGAAAGTGCATGTTTAATTATATAGCTGTAGAGGGCAAATTTTCCGTATGTGATTGAAGTAAGTATACTACTATATTTGACATTAAAATTTTTATATATAAAGCATCAAATCAATATTGATTATGCTTATGTATAGGGGGCCATGGTCTGGTTCTCACAATAGGAATGGATCTCAAATCCAACGAGACAATACAGAAAAAGAGATATATCCTCTATTATAATTTCGGAACAGCACCGGTATCAGGTCTAAGGAGAGTCTCTCTCTATTTCACTGGTACCTGAGCCGGAGACAAGCTCCACGACTCTGAAGGGCACAAAGAGCCAACCCCAACCATGGAAATGTGTATACCCTCATAGGAGGTAAATGTCCACTCCTCGGAGGAAGAACATTTGTTGTCAAAGGAGGATGGGAATACCATGTCCCCCTACAATATGAAAATCCCTATTTATCATGAGTTATAAACGGTATGATGAGTTATGTAAACTCAAGAAAGGGCCACAAAATATATATTTTAGGTCACGGTGATCAACAGTATATACCTACTACACATACTCATTATATATTTTATCTATGTATAGTGCCTAATATGAAACACAGGATCAATTAGTTCATCATATAAAAATTGAAGATTATAAGTAAGAAAGTGCCAAAAAACATAATTGTCTTTTTATCTTAAAACTATGCTATACTGCCCTTAAGGATAATATATCAATTAGGCTAAGTGCTAAACTTACAACTACACTTGCGTGCATAGAAATCGGCCCAAGGCAAACTTTTAAAGTTAACTATATATTTTTTAGAATCTATTTGTCAGATTAAGAAAAAATACATGCTGTTTGAAGGACAATTTCATATTCTTTGAAAAGAGTTTAGAGATATTAATTTGTATTTTGGTTTCTTTGAATTAAAATTATTAAATTAATGCATGAAACAAATTATCGTTTTTTATTACTAAGAGGTATGTTATTATTTATTTATTTATTTATGGACAATTAGTTAAACTAAATTTTCAATAATGGGTATGACCCCCTCTTGCTCTAACAACATCTTTCATACGATTTGGCATAGATTCGATCAAATTTGATATTGTTTCTAGCGGGATGTTAAGCCACTCTTCCTCTACTGCAACAATGAGCTCTGGGATAGAAGTTAGGGCTCTTCGTCTAGTACGAATTCTTCGTTTTAGCTCATCCCATAAAGGTTCTATCGGGTTTAAGTCTGGACTGCATGCTGGCCATTCCATAACCCCAAATTCGACTTCTGAAATGTAATCGTGTATAATTCTTGATGTGTGTGCCTTCGCATTGTCATGCATAAAAGTGAATTCGTTTCCAATGTAGTCGACGTAAGGTACCACATGAACTGCTAAAAATCTCCTCAATATACATAGCATCAGTTAAACCTCCTCTTCCGTGCCGACGCGACGGTCGCCCCAACGGATGAAAACTGGGTCGGTTCGCGCAGTCATAGAAATTGCATCCCAGATCATGCAGGAACCACCTCCATAAGCAATCCGCTCCTCAATGCAGCATTCTGCGAATCGCTCACCTGGCCTCCGGTACACTTTTCTTCTTTGGTCGCTACCATAGAAGCATATTCTGGTCTCATCTGAGAATAAAACAGATTCCCATTGTTCTAGTGTCCAATTCAGATGTTGCAGTACAAAACGCAGGCGTGCTTGACGATGAGCTGGGGTAAGTTTTGGACCAGTTTGGTATTTTGGGGGTCATGTTACTTTCCTTCAATCTTCGTTTTACTGTCCACTGACAAATAGTCACTCCTCGTGTTTCACGGAGCTGTTGTTGCACCTGAATAGCATTAAGACGCTGATTTCTTAACATTGTTGACACAATAAAGCGGTCATCACGATCCGTTGTATAGCTCTTTCTACCAGTTCCAGGTCGACTACGAAAGGATCGAGTCTCCTCATATCGTTCACACACTATTCTGTTTAAGTCCATTTTCGATTAAAGCGATTACTTGGGCGGCTTTTTCGGGTGATGTATGCATTAAATTGAAACACTAATCAAACAATGAAACACAACTAATCAAAGAATAAAAGAACAGTGTGAAAATTTCGATTACAAAGGTAGTAATTGCAATATTTGACAAGTTTGTTATTCTTATTGTCGCCACAACACACACACCTTTTATTTGTTTACCCGTTGGTACGCATATAAACGATAAGTACCCTGAATAAATTTACGCTCATATTAAAGCATGTTAAATTTTGAAACAGCTCATATTTTTTACTTGCCATGATAAATATATTCTAAAAGACACAGTTCAAACCAAAAGTTCACAGTGGGCCGATTTCTATGCACGTAAGTTTATATAATGAAATTAGCCCATCTGCTATGTTCCCTCACTGCCTTAGGCTAGAAATATGCTCATAACTCGGTTTTGTTATTTTGGTACTTGGCCTATTTCTTACTTATGGTCTTCAGTAATTACTGATCTATCTATCAATGGAAAAATTATATATACATAAGTGTAATAATGGGGGTAACGACTCTATAAATTAATATTAATGTTTTATTTAATTCTATTTATATACAATATTAAAAACAGATAGAAACATAAACAAATAAAGCTAGAAATATTATCCCACTAATCATACATTTAATATGAACACATTTTTTCTATTAATTAGAAATGGTTAAATTAAAATAAAAAATAATTAAAAAGATATTTATGTACAATATTTGAATTAAAATAATATTAGAGAAATATTTTTCTTCTTTTAATAACGAATTCGCTCCAATTAAATTATTTATTATTTATTATTTATTTTTTTCAAATTAAAGGTATAAACATACTGGCATATAGGAATATGAAGCAGATAAACATATTTCATTAATAATAATTTGTTTAACAAACTTGTTTATATTTTGTGATTAAAGTTATTGACGAGGTTATTGAAATATTGTCATTATCAATTTTTGTTATTAAACAAAAAAACAACCGTTGTTGATGTTTAAATAAAAACAACAGCAGTTTTTATTGTGTAAATGCTGCAATTAATTATAATTATTATTATTTACATATCGAAGAGAAACAAAACATTAATTTTAGATATTTATATAAATAATGTAATTTATAAAAATAACTAATTATTATCAAGTTGAGTAAGAGTGTTATATACAATAAAAATAGCTCAGGGCAAATGACAATAATTTTTTAATATTGTCTGGAGTAACAATTTTTGCAGTCTTTTCTTACTAGGTATAAACTGAAATTGGGTTCTGTCGGATCTGGACAATGCCTGCAGGTGATTTCGTAATTTTTGCAGTCACCAAATCTATAAAAATATATATAATTTAACAAATTTTAATGCAAATAGTTTAAGGCAATATATGTGATTAGTAATTAATAAAATCAAAAGAAAAGAATACAATTTATTCGTAAATTTCTGCAGAAGTGTTTTTTTTTGGTTTAGTTGAAAAGTTGAAAAGAATAGTAAATCTTTTGATCTATATTGATATTTTTTCATGATTTGACCTAGCTTGAACACGTTTCTAACGCTGCTTAGTATTAACACTGGACTTTTAACTCCAATTAAATAAAACAAACAACAGTGGCTTCAAACTGGTAGACAATAATGAATTATGAAAGATTATTTCTTGGAGTGACATTGTTTATAGTTTTGAAAACTTAAACAACGTGTTGGTCAGATGAATCATTGACCTTAGTTAATTTTTGGTGACCTTTATCAAGTATAGTAAGACGTAACCTTAATCTTAAAACCACCTACTACTAGAGTCAACCATTTACAAGTTAAGAATTTAAATAAAGTTATCAAGCCTGGAGTTGTCACTTGGGACTAAAAAAAAACGGCGTCCCGTTGGCTTGAAAATGACGGTCGATGACATTTCCCCTATTATGGTCCATATAAAATGACAGCAATCTTCATTTCATAGCCATTGATGACGCCGTTTTTTTATCGTATGGTACGCTTGATACGTGCTTTCTTTTTTTGTATGTTGAAGGAATTTTCATACTTGTATTGCTAAAATTATCTGGCTTGATATAAAAACACTAAGTTCGTTAAATTTATGTTTTTTTCCAAATCAAAAAGGTTCTTTCTAAATCCGAGCTTTCGACCACTGCCTATTATGCTGCCTAGACTGCACATACACATGCTCTGTAATACCCGATGTAATACCCGACTTCATTGTTTTACCCTCGGTTTTACCTGTATTTTTTTGTTTACTAAGTCGTACAATCGTACATTTAGAGGACGTATTGCCTCTAAAATATACTAATCGCCGCATTCACAAGGTACCTTGTAGATGCACTTTCTTGTTTTGATGTTTCCGGTCTTGTTGTTGTTAAGACGTTTCTTAAAGTATAGAGTTCAATAATTATTAAAAATTGATTTAATTCTGATCTTTTTTTATATTCCTTTTAGGTATGAAATATTTAGGTGCTTGTTTAGCTATTCTATATAATGGAGACTTCGCAGAGAAAGCATCAAGCGTCATTGACCTCATTCTAACGAGATATTTTATTTAAAAACGGTAAATTGGTTACTTTAAATCACAATAAAAAACATTGAGGTGTAAAACATGGACACTACTGCACAAAGTCTCACAGAAAATGAAGGAAAAGCATACTAATATTACATGTGCTCATCTATGGTTCGGACTTATGTATGGTATATCTTGGAAATGAACTATCCGAATCATGAAGCATAAAGCAACATCTAGTGATACTAATATGAATAGAACAGAGTGATTCAAATATTTTAAAAATTAATTGGAGATTTGTGTAAGCAGTAAGGAGTGAAACGAAATTCTCTGTTGACGAGCAATTCATGGGCCTGCTATAAATATTTAAATAGCATTACTTACTTACACAAAAATTTCAAAAATACCAAGTCAGTTTTAGTATTTTTAAAGTTTTTCGACGTTAATGAGACATAATCTGAATAAAAATTAAAGAATTAAGAAGAAAAACGATGAAGAGTTAATAAAATCACGCAACTATTTTATCGATAACGACTGCATTGTTCTCCAAGGTCGGTCTATTAAGCTTTTCGTAAAAAAATGAGGCGATATATCTCTTCAATAAAAAGCAAAAAAAATGGAGGTGAAAATAAAACGAGTGGGCTGAAAATGAGTGGTGTTTCGCGGTGACATACTCGTCCAGTCCATGTGGATTCGCTGCGACATGTATACCGGGTGACATATTTAATTGTTTTCGTTTTTTGTTCTACAACTTTTGAATTTTAAACGGCACCCTCGGTATTTTTTTACTGTATTCGATAGAAAATGACACTCTGAATAGAATGACATATATGCCAAATTTTGACATTTTCCCATATGGTTTATTTGAAATTGAAACATGCGGTTCATAAAGACAATTTGATTCGAAATATTAAGTGTGTGATACCAAAATGCTTTTTCCAAATATGCTAATGAACCACTCTCGTTCCAATGGAAAAAAATTAGATATGATAAAACGGCGGTAACACTGGGCTGGTTTACTAGCCGCTAGTTGCTGTTAGGCTGGTAATAGCGTAGTGTGAATCCCCAACCCCGCTGTTTTTACTAGCCGACGAATAAAATTACCAGCAACCAGCCCGAGCTGGCTGAGTAGCCCATGTTCAACTTTACCAGCCGCCAGCGCATCACGTGACCCTCGGTTCGCTGTTAGTAGTGCTTCAGTAGTCTTGTGTGACCCGAATTGATGACAAGTAGTTGCTGGTAAATAATAAAACTACGCGATTTTATTTTATTTTCTTGATAGATTTCGAAGATGTCGGAGGTCAAATTGACTGCAAATCAAATTATATTTTTTAAACCTCTACGAAAAATACGTGTGCTTATGTGTCCTCTCCTGAATACGTAAAAAGGGGCGTAACGTAATAAAAGATTTAAATGATGCCGGAATGAAAATAATTGGAACTTAAAAAAAAAGTATACGAAATACATATCGAAATGAAGTGAACCGCAATTCTTCAAACTTAAAAAGTGGTAATCTTAATACATTCATGAATGAAGGATCTTCGTTTGTAAGATCAATCATTAGTGTTGAAGATGCTCCCAATTAATTACTTCGACAAATCCAGCTTCTCACCGATTTTCTTTTTTTTTTCTTTGTCAAAACTTCATGACAAAGTTCCCGAACCATCATTTTTAACACTTGCACCCTTAATTCCCTTTGAACAGACATGACAAACTGGCAAATATTGATTTTGATTGCGATTTACAGCGCTAATACTCAAAATGTTTATGAACCCAAAACAGCGGCTATTGACACAGATTAGTAGCAGCTATTAGCAGCAGGCTGCAACCAGCGGCTAGTAAACCAACCCAGTGTGCCACTTAAGAAATACAATTTGGGCAGATTTTAACTGGCCAGGACAAGACATGAAAAACATTAGATAATCAAATCTATTTTTCCAATTCTCCTTGATCAAAAATTAGTGTTTTCAGCAAAGCCATGGCACACTAGATTGAAATTTAAAATACGATTTTTAGCGAGAATGTCAAAAGTTGACATATGCTATGTCAGTATATTCAGAGTGTCATTTTCAATCGAATAAAGTAAAAAATACGGAGGGTGCCATTTAAAAACCTAAAATTGTAGTCATTTCCGGTGAAGCAGAAATTGACCGAAAACAATTGAATACGTCAATCAATCATAATTAAAAAAGTTATATGTTTTGTAGTAACGTGATTATACTCCATTATTGTATCTGCATGCTTGAAATTCTTTTCTTAGATATAGGTCCAGATAACGTACATTATATGTATGCATTATTTAAAAGGATCTTACCTGCACTCAAATTGTGTGTATGATTTTGCCAGCTTATATCCTGGTGTTCTACTATATTCAGCTGGTGGATATCTCCCAGAGGAACACAAGTGGCCGCAACTGAGTGTGTGGTAACAGTGGTCCTTGTTCCGACAGGTTGGTATCACGCAACAGTTAGAAGGCGAATATTGGGCGTTTTCGTCGTCTATGGTGTTTCCGTAGACGTCATGACGGTAGTCTGGTAACACCAAAGCTGACTGAGCTGATAATACCATAAGTGTCAAGATCAACGACAATAAAGTAAGACAGCTTTTTGAAAGCGGTTCCTGAAATATAGGAATATAATTAAGACTTATTGAATTATTCCATTTAAGTGTATCATAAAAAGAAAATCGTTAAGTTTATAGGTGTATTGTATAACGGAGTATTATTGAAAAGCTTGTAAAATGTCAAAGTAATTTCTTAACAAATAAATATCGTGTCCCATTTAAAAAGAATCTAAACATCAGTGAATGTCACAACAATGAAGATATTAAAAGTCCTATTGAAAGTCGTTTTAACCTTTCTGATACGCTGCCAAATAACTTTTAGATACAAAAGGAATCTGAAATTGCAACATTTTCAAAATCACTGTGTATCATGAATGACTTCACTGTGTATCATGAAATTTAACATTTGTGTTTTTGGTTTCAGCAAAAGGTAATGTCTTTAAAGTTTTTGTCTTTACTAATAAGCAAGATCCTTCTCTTGTAACCAAAAACGGACCATCACGGCCTTTTTGCCGAGGAGCAAAGGGCGTAGACGCCTACGTCTTGAGCCTTATCCAGACTCAGAACAACTCCAATGTAAGGACATCGAGTTGGCAAGTCATCAACTCGAGGGAGGTGGGTCATGGTCAGGTCCTTACAATAGGAATTGACCTCAAGTCCAAGAAGACAATAGAGAAAGAAGGATATATCCTCTATTATAGATTCGGAACAACACCGGTATCAGGTCTAAGGAGAAACCAAGTTGAAGAGGTGGAGAAAATGGAAACAGATCCTCCATCTTTCACATCACGGACACCTCAGCTGCAGACAAGCTCCTTGACTGTGAAATGAACGGGAGGCCAAACCCCAACCGTGGGAGGGTGTATACCCTCGGAGGAAGAACATCTGTTGTCCCCAGAGGGAGGAAAAAATATTCTGTTCCTCCTAAAACAGAAAAATCCTCAAGTATGATGAGTTATGGACTGTATGATGAGTTATAACTCAAGGAAGGGGGACACAATAGATCTTTAAGGTTCGCAGTGATTAACTCCCCTCTCACTCATTCTACATTCTACAACCAAAAATGGGATACTCTACCCAGAGTATCCCATTTTCGTCAGTTCCACGGATTCTCGATTATGGGTATAGACGTACAAAGATGTGGCTTTACCTGTTTTTACCTGGTTTCTTATAAAACTAAAGATGCTATACAGAGTAAAATGTCAAAGTAATTTCTTAACAAATAAATATCGTGTCCCATTTAAAAAGAATCTAAACATCAGTGAATGTCACAACAATGAAGATATTAAAAGTCCTATTGAAAGTCGTTTTAACCTTTCTGATACGCTGCCAAATAACTTTTAGATACGAAAGGAATCTGAAATTGCAACATTTTCAAAATCACTGTGTATCATGAATGACTTCACTGTGTATCATGAAATTTAACATTTGTGTTTTTGGTTTCAGCAAAAGGTAATGTCTTTAAAGTTTTTGTCTTTACTAATAAGCAAGATCCTTCTCTTGTAACCAAAAACGGACCATCACGGCCTTTTTGCCGAGGAGCAAAGGGCGTAGACGCCTACGTCTTGAGCCTTATCCAGACTCAGAACAACTCTAATGTAAAGGACATCGAGTTGGCAAGTCATCAACTCGAGGGAGGTGGGTCATGGTCAGGTCCTTACAATGGGAATTGACCTCAAGTCCAAGAAGACAATAGAGAAAGAAGGATATATCCTCTATTATAGATTCGGAACAACACCGGTATCAGGTCTAAGGAGAAACCAAGTTGAAGAGGTGGAGAAAAGGAAAACAGATCCTCCATCTTTCACATCACGGACACCTCAGCTGCAGACAAGCTCCTTGACTGTGAAATGAACGGGGAGGCCAAACCCCAACCGTGGGAGGGTGTATACCCTCGGAGGAAGAACATCTGTTGTCCCCAGAGGGAGGAAAAAAATATTCTGTTCCTCCTAAAACAGAAAAATCCTCAAGTATGATGAGTTATGGACTGTATGATGAGTTATAACTCAAGGAAGGGGGACACAATAGATCTTTAAGGTTCGCAGTGATTAACTCCCCTCTCACTCATTCTACATTCTACAACCAAAAATGGGATACTCTACCCAGAGTATCCCATTTTCGTCAGTTCCACGGATTCTCGATTATGGGTATAGACAAAGAATATCTTAATACCCTAGAAGTCTCGTCTGGCATCAAAATCTGACCTGTCGATGGGGCCTCGCTTTGGCGAGCGAGGCCCCAACTTCGTGGAGCCTCGCTATTTTGCTCGGAATTGAACGAATAGACGCGCGGCGTTGCCTTGTTTTGTGTGAACTTTCTTGAATAGTTTTAAATTATAGTTTTAAATTTTATCTATTGCTATAATCAGTCTTTCCGTTCTCCGCACTCCGCAGTTTACATATAATATTATCTTATAATTCCCGTGTTACAGTTTTGGTTACCGTACTCCTCCGAAACGGCTTAACCGATTTTTATGAAATTTTATATGTATATTCAGTAGGTCTGAGAATAGGTAGTTATATACTTTTTATACCCTTAAATGATAAGGGTAGTCCACCCCCATTTTTTTATTTTGTGAAAAAACAATATTTTAATTTTTTTTTATTTGGCATTAAAAATACAAACAACACTAAATTTTCACCGTTCTACTTTCATCCCCTATTTTTTAATAGGGGTTGTTTTTTAATTTTTGTTACCATCTCCGAAACGGCTTAACCGATTTTGATAAAATTTTATATGTATATTCAGTACGTCTAAGAATAAGTTGTTATCTATTTTTATACCCTTAACTGATAAGGGTAGCCGAGAGGGTAACCCACCCTCATTTTTTTTTAGTTTTTGAAAAGAAAAAAATGTTTTTTATTTTTTTAATTGGCATTAAGAAATACAAACAACCCTAAATTTTCACCGTTCTGCTATCATCCCCTATTTTTTAATAGGGGTTGTTTTTTTAATTTTTTGTTACCATCTCCGAAACGGCTTAACCGATTTTGATAAAATTTTATATGTATATTCAGTACGTCTAAGAATAAGTTGTTATCTATTTTTATACCCTTAACTGATAAGGGTAGCCGAGAGGGTAACCCACTCTCATTTTTAGTTTTGAAAAAGAAAAAAATGTTTTTATTTTTTATTTGGCGTTAAGAAATACAAACAACCCTAAATTTTCACCGTTCTGCTATCATCCCCTATTTTTAATAGGGGTTGTTTTTTATTTTTTTTGTTGCCATCTCCGAAACGGCTTAGCCGATTTTGATGAAATTTTATAAGTATATTGAGTAGGTCTGAAAACAGGTTGTTATATATTTTTTATACCCTTAAGTGATAAGGGTAGCCCACCCCCATTTTTTTTATTTAAAAAAAAAAAATATTTTTATTTTTTTTATTTGGCATTGAAAAATACAAACAACCCTAAGTTGTCACCGTTCTACCATCATCCCCTATTTTTTAATAGGGGATGTTTTTTTTTTAATTTTTTGTTACCATCTCCGAAACGGCTTGATCGATTTTGATGAAATTTTATATGTATATTCAGTAGGTCTGAGAATACGTTGTTATCTGTTTTTATACCCTTAAGTGATAAGGGTAGCCCACCCCCATTTTTTTTTATTTTTTGAAAAAAAAAAATATTTTAATTTTTTTTATTTGTCATTAAAAAATACAAACAACCCTAAATTTTCACCGTTCTACCATCATCCCCTATTTTTTAATAGGGGTTGTTTTTTTTAAGTTTTTTGTTATCATCTCCGATTGACCGATTTTGATAAAATTTTATATGTATGTATATTCAGTATGTCTAAGAATAGGTTGTTATCTATTCTTATACCCTTAAGTGATAAGGGTAGCCGAGAGGGTAGCCCACCCTCATTTTTTTATTTTTGAAAAAAAAATATTTCTTTTATTTGGCCTTAAAAAATACAAACAACTCTAAATTTCCGTTTTTCACCGTTCTACCATCATCCCCTATTTTTTAATAGGGGTTGTTTTTTTTAAGTTTCTTGTTACCATTTCCGAAACGGTTTTGCCGATTTTGATGAAATTTTATTATGTATATTGAGTAGGTCTGAAAATAGTTTGTTATCTATTTTTATACCCTTAAGTGATAAGGGTAGCCCATTCCCATTTTTTTATATTTTGAAAAAATATATATTTTTATTTTTTTATTTTGCATTAAAAAATACAAACCCAAAATTTTCACCGTTCTACCATCATCCCCCTATTTTTTAATAGGGGTTGTTTTTTTAATTTTTTGTTACCATCCGTGAAACGGCTTTGACCGATTTTGATAAAATTTTATATGTATATTCAGTACGTCTAAGAATAGGTTGTTATCTATTTTTTATACCCTTATGTGGTAAGGGTAGCCCACCCTCATTTTTTATTTTTTGAAAAGAAAAAATGTTTTTATTTTTTTAGTTGGCATTAATAAATACAAATAACCCTAAATTTTCACCGTTCCACCATCATCCCCTATATTTTAATAGGGGTTGTTTTTTTTTTAATTTTTTCTTACCATCTCCGAAACGGCTAAACCGATTTTGATAAAATTTTATATCTATATTCAGTAGGTCTGGTTTGGTTTGGTTTGGTCACAACCTATTCCTAGGTTGTTATCTATTTTTTATACCCCTAAGTGATAAGAGTGGCCCACCCCAACTTTTTTTTTATTTTTTAGACAAATTTTTTATTTTAATTGTTTTATAGGGAGTGCTTATTTTTTGGGGGTGCATGTCCAAAATTTTCTTCTGGGTACACACTTTCATCACTTAAGGGACCTCTGTACAAAATTGCATACTCCTAGTCCTAGAACGGATTTTACATAAAAATTATACAAATTTTTACCCTTAGTTTTACCCCCTTAAGGAATGAATTCCAAAAATCGCTCTAATTATTCAATTACGCTACATAATAAACCTCTGTGCAAATCATCATATATAATCATCATCATATTCCTTGAACAGAATTTATTGTTCCAGAACGTTCAACCCTTCATTTCACACCCTTAGAGGGCGAATTTCCAAAAATTGCTTCTTAGTGCTAAATTAAGTTATATTATAAGGAACGTCTGCAAAATTCATACTTCTACAACCGATTTGAACAAATTTTTGTACAAATTTTCATCCCTTATTTTTTAGGGGATGCATGCCTAAAATTCGCTTCTAGGTACTCACATTCATCATTTAAGGAACCTCTGAACAGAATTTCATACTCCTAGTCCTAGAACGGATTTTACATAAAAAATTATACAAATTTTCACCCCTAGTTTTGCCCCCTTAAGGAATGAATTCCAAAAATCACTCTAATTATTCAATTACGCTACATAAGGAACCTCTGTGCAAATTCTCATATTCCTTGAACAGAATTTATTGTTCCAGAACGTTCAACCCCTCATTTCACACCCTTAGAGGGCGAATTTCCAAAAATTGCTTCTTAGTGCTAAATTCCGTTACATAAGGAACGTCTGCAAAATTCATACTTCTACAACCGATTTTAACAAATTTTTGTACAAATTTTCATCCCTTATTTTTCAGGGGATGCATGCCTAAAATTGGCTTCTGGGTACTCACTTTCATCATTTAAGGGACCTCTGAACAGAATTTCATACTCCTAGTCCTAGAACGGATTTTACATAAAAAATTATACAAATTTTCACCCCTAGTTTTACCCCCTTAAGGAATGAATTCCAAAAATCACTCTAATATTCAATTACGCTACATAAGGAACCTCTCTGCAAATTCTCATATTCCTTGAACAGAATTTATTGTTCCAGAACGTTCAACCCCTCATTTCACACCCTTAGAGGGCGAATTTCCAAAAATTGCTTCTTAATGCTAAATTACGTTACATAAGGAACGTCTGCAAAATTCATACTTCTAAAACCGATTTTAACGTTTTGTACAAATTTTCATCCCTTATTTCTAAGGGATGAATGTCAAAAATTAGCTTCTAGGTACTCACTTTCGTCACTTAAGGAAACTCTGTACAAAATTTCATACTCCTAGAACTAACACTTTTTGTACAAAATTTCACCCCCCAGTTTAGGCTATACATTCCCAAAAATCGCTTATCAATGTTCAAATGCGCCACATCTGTGCAAAAGTTCGTACTCCTAGTAGGTACAGATTTTTTTTTTGTATAATTACATCCCTTTATCTAATTACACCCCCTTATGGGTCGAATTTTAAAAAATTACTTAGTAGTGCTCATCTTAGAGAACGAATTAATATTCTCCGTATTTACTTCAGTTTCCTAATACTTGCACAGATAACACATAATCATACTAGTTAATTTTTTATTGGAATAGAAGTAATTTTTATTAGAAGGTACAAAAAAATTAAAAATCTAAAATTTTATTTTCATAGCTACGTTTTTTTTCATAGCCTTAGGATGCCTCATGTACTATCGAATATACGAAATATATAATCAATACATATTTCTTTAAATATCGAGAAATAAAATATGTTTGGCAACACCGTACGAAATATCGCCGCGCGTAGTCCTCAAAATTTAAAATATCAGCATTTTCAGGCTTCGATTATGTTCAAAAGCGCCACCGTATGACAAATCACTAAAGCTTCCACACGAGAGTTCTTAAAACTATAATATTCTTTGGTATAGACGTACAAAGATGTGGCTTTACCTGTTTTTACCTGGTTTCTTATAAAACTAAAGATGCTATACAGAGATTTTTCCTAGCCCTCGTGGTTCCTAAAATACAGATGTAATTTGAAACTGCTACATCGACTCTTTTCGTATCGTACTCTTTTCGTATCTACTCGTATCTACATCGTATATGTTATCTTATAAATTATCGAAGGGGTAAAAACTCCAAAGAGTCCCAAAAATATTTTCACAAAACTGTATCTAGAATCTTTAGTTTCATAAAAAAAAACAGCAAAGTGAAGTGAAAAGCGTATCTTTGTATATCTATTCGAGGAACCCTGTAAAACCAACAAAAAGGGAACACCCTCTACAGAAATTTATAAAACTATAAACATTTGATAATTAATGGGATATATCTCCCACTATGTAAGTAAGAAAAATGTACGGCCTGTATACATATCTGTAGATATAAAGGTAAACAAAGTTTTGTAGCAGCTTTTAGTATAAATTACTAAATAAAATATTCTTGCCTTGAGATGCTATATTTTTCTTTATTCGATTTTTGAAAATTGAAAAATATAGCAGCTCAAGGCAAGAATTTTGTATTTAGTAACATATCTGTAGAAGGAAATAGTTTAGTAAAATGTTTATTCTGGTCTTACCAAATAACAGAATATTTCATATACACACACTTTAAAATATCTTATCCATTAATATTTTTAGAAGAAAATTTATGACAACTAAAAAAAAATATTGTACTTACCATTTTAAATTCAAGTTTTGCTTGTTTTTTATTTTTAATACTTAATTTATATTGTAGATCCAGATATCTAACACCCAAAAGCTACAAATACAAGATCAATACTGCGTCTTTTTCAAAATAATTGCCGCCAAAACAAGATACGTGCCGTTATTATCATATATTTTGTTTTCCAAAATAATTAGTGATATCTCAATATCCAAAAATGAATGTATGCTTGTGTTTATTCAGCACACATACATAATTTTAATCGTAATATTGCTTTTTAAATATGCAGTTTGATAAATCTTGCACATGCAAGCGGCCGGGAAAGAGGGAGAGAGAGGGAAAAGTACATAACGTATTTTTTCTCTTTCTCTTTGAGGTCGTTATGAAAAATTAAAGGAAAAAACAAATAGAGACTTTTTGAATTATTTAGTCGTAAAAGCGTTCCTTATGCTGTTCTACTTTTTCAAATCGACAAAGATATAAGGAAGAAAGCGTAATAATAAATTACTATTTTACATAATGACAAGTTCTGTTTCCTTTTTAGTAAAAAAAATCTTTAATTATTATCGAATCGAATGTTGTTTCCTAGTATATGTATATGACTCGTTGATCGATGTTAAGGTTTAAAAATGTACGTGTACTGTGTTGAAGTGAGGTTAAATACCGTATGATAAAAAAACGCCGTCCGGTTGACTTGGAAATGACGCGATCGATGACATTCCTCATATAATTTTACATATAAAATGACAGCGGTCTTCATTCCATAGCAATCACTGACGGCGTTTTTTTATCATCATGTACAATAAATACACTACTTTTTTTCCGAAAATGAATAATTTTAGAAATTAAATCTGTATACAAAAATTCTAAGATTTTACAGCACATCCCTTGATTTTCATAATAAATGTTGTGCGAATTTGTTAATGAATTAAATTATTAATTTGAGATAAAAGAATATACTTACTACCGTCATTACTCGCTGACGAGTGTTCGACATGCATCAGAAGATGGTTACGCAGGGCGTCTTCTTTTATGAGCTTTTCTGTGACTGAAAAGCCCGATACATGATGTTATCTCTTTTCCGCACTCCGGACATTCAAAAATCTCATTACTTAGTTTCCTCTTTACTCTTTGGTTGTCGTTGTCTGATTTTACAATTCTTCTCGATTGCGTTCTATTGTGCGCTACTTCCTCCCACTGATTCTGCATGCATACATACGTTATCTATTATGACACTATATTATTTAATAAGATTATTATTTACAAACAACAGTTAAAGATACAACAAGCGCAATGCAAATCTGATTTGAAATACGTACAATGCATCCTTCTTGAAAAATATATGGATCGAATTTTCCGATAATCACTACATTTGCCTATGAAATATAGATATGTAGTTATTAAAATTGAATGTAATTTGAAATTTAAACTGCAATAAGCCGTGATGTATGAGTTTTCCAGGTTTAAATATTTCAGTGAAGGCATGATAACGACGAGCCGATAAATTAGATAGAATGATTTGTTGATGTATTATGTAAAAGCAAAGCTTTTAATCGATATATGGTATGCTAAGGAATCATACGAATGGATAAATCTTGATTTAAGTTAATTATATATTAATATATATATATATATATATATATATATATATATATATATATATATATTATAATTATATTAATTTGTGATTTGTTATATAGAACCTTATATGCTTTTAAATAAATGTACCATACGATTGAAAAAACCCTGTTGGTGTGTGAAATAAGAGAGGTATGGAAATGACGATTGTTCTAATTTTATATTTGTAAAATTGCATGGGAAATGTCATCGATCATCATTTTCAGATAAACTTAACACCGTGCATGTGAAATGGATTAAAAATTGCATAAAATAGCTGCGATTTCTGGCTGTTAAATTTGATAGAAATAAATGGATAAAAAACGAGTTTGTTGGTGAATTTTTGAGGAAGTTTATTTGAAAACAGTTGTTTCTTTTACAACATTACATAAAAATTCGAGTTTTCATCAATATAGGTGAATCTGAAATCAAACAACTACCTAATTTCACGAAAGACGTAAGAATTAATTACTGATGGTAGTGATGGTAGTCCATCTGGATGTAAAATATTTATCTATTTGTCAAATATTGAGTTATTTTTTGGAGAAAAACAGTAATTTTTAACGAAAAGTAAAAAATTTACTTAAGTGATGCAAAGTACGAATAACTCTCCTATTTCATTTGTCGAGGTGACATCATTTCTAGGTAGGTTACTTTTAATAGGGTGCCATTAAGTTTGGTTGAAGTTTGGGATCATGTTTGATCCCTCACTTGGAAGCCTTGAGCCCCCCCCCCATGCGATACCCCTGTATTATTGTGGTTCCAGCTCTTTGTAAAGTTACCGATGTCGCTGATGTTAGCTTGCGCTGCGTGCTCTAGTCCCTCCAAAAAACTTTGCCCTAAAGTTTTAAAGCGTCGGTATTCCAGTGCCAGACAGTGGTACAGCAGGTGCTCTAAGGTTTCTTCTTCCTCTCGTATCCTCTCGTATACAACTGCCTGCTTCCTTTGCATCATTGCTACATCTTTTTACTCTCAATAAGTCATCTTAACTTTAGATTGTTTTTTTTTCAAATACGACTGTGTTGAATCCAAACATAAACCAGCTTGTATTTTTACCAGTAAAATAACTATTCAAAAACACTAGTTTATGGCAGATATAAACCGTTGACTTTTTTTTAAAAAGAAATTTATTCTATGCCATTTTAACAGAATAATTTTGTTTTGAATTTTTGTAGGAAAAACACATCCCATCGGCATCGTCCTCAAGTAGATTTCTGTTTATAGTATCCCAGTTAAATTAATGCATGACATTAATAGTTATTAAAATGGATGAATTAAAGAAATAATGATTAAAGAACAATTACAAGATAATCTACAAAATAAAATGCTCGTTATATTCTATCATTAGCTTCTAACCCTTTAATTCAATTGAATTTCTATTTATATTTCTAATTTCCTAGATAAAGTCCACAGATTAACATGACCCGTTTTTTCTATGTTCGAAATTACGATAGGAATCTACTGTTATAACGTTATAATGCCCAGCCAACATTGACCAATATTTGAATAAAGAGTTTCGTTGTCGCGATAACATGAAACATGGCCAAGGTCAATGTTGATTAATGTATTTATTTATCGAACCATATTGTTTATAAAAAACATAATTTCGCCTAAGTATACAAAATATAGAAAGAGCAAAGAGCTACAGGGAAATCGTGCTAATATATTTTAGTAAATTTTATTTACTAAAATTATATTAGCATTATTAGAAAAGGAATTTGTATTTTTTAATTAATGATATCAGGAGTAGTGCTTTATTACAAACTAGCTGACCCGGTTATAACTTCGTACCTCCTAACAGTAAAGTACGATTTTTTTCAAACTTGTAGTACGGATGACTGATTGACCAAATGATCTAGCATGATGAAGACCAATTAACTTAACAGTTTTGTCGACGATTGTTTTATGATTTGTTGGTGAGTGTAATACTGAGCTAATAAATATTTGATTTGACCCGCAATTAGCAGCAGTTTCTATTATTGGTATACCGAAGATAGGATGATTTTCGGTGTTAGGCTAAGAACATAGTGGAGCGACGAGGATAGCGGCGACCCAAGTAACATTTTAAGTTCCTTTAGTGCGGCGTTACACGATGCCGCAGAAAAGGATCGTGGCCTCCAATTATACGATCCTGCAAAAACGGATTGCGGGACCTTCGTGCAGCTACTACGCACATTTTGATATTGTGTGGCAGAGGCGTAGGAACTATGTCCCTTTTAAAATTAAACATTGTTTTATTACTTGAAGCTAAAAATTTATTACGGGAGCCGAAATGCCGTAAAACCTGGGTTCATCCTTTTAATTCCGAACGCGAAAGAAGACGAAGATTTGAAAATTTTATTCTAAAATTCGAGAGTACAATGATAAATTCTTTGGCTACTATCGGATGTCTCAAAAATCTTTTGATGTATTGCTTGAAATATTGAGACCCAGCATCACGAAACAAAACACGACAATGAGGATTCACCCATGCCCTTTGTCGTGCATCTTTGTTGGAATATTCAGGGTTTGATTTGTCCCAATGGGCAGGTAGCCCACGAATTAGCTCGATAAATTGGTCCGTATCAAACATATTTTGCTTTTCGCGATCAAAGCGGCATACCGCAGAAACGTACCGTGCTACAGTTTACATTCAACTGAATGTGTCGTCACCAAGGTTCCCGCATCCCGCAATCCTGCATTGCGGTAGCATGTCGCCGCACATCCCGCAAAAACGGATGGTGTTACATCTGCCATGCCATCTCATGCGATATTGTAAGTATAACGCCGCACTTAGGTTATATATTCTCAAGGTTAGTTATATAAAGGTTTAATAAATGTCTCATTGGTATTTTACAGTGTTTTGATTTATATAAGTGTAGCGTTGGTTACTTATCACTAATAGTAACCTTGAAATATTGTTTATCACTTTCCTTATAACACTACAGGTTCTTGTTACTAAAGGTTTCATAGTAAGATTTTATAAAGATGTTCACATCTATTTTATATATTTTCTGGTATTAGGTGTTATAAAAGTACGCAAGATATATACTATATAATTAAAGGTTGTTATTGAGAACCATTATGTAACCAATAATACTACAAGTTATATAATTGTTCCCTCAAATCGTTTTTTGCACCTTTCAAATGTTTGCATGCTTTATATAACCTGTAGTTACCGAATATCAAACCTAATGACATAACCTCAAATTTTTAATATAATCAAAACAAATAATATATTAGCAAGCGAGCAATTCGGTATTATAATAAAAAAATAAACTGGATAAAACACAAAAATACATCTACGTTCAAAAGAAAGGTTCTTCAGAATTTAAAAAAAATAGGAATAATCCAAACCTCATTCAAACTACATCTACCAATATTGAAAGCCAACATGCAAATTTACCATTCACAAGCAGAGATATTTCCAACAGAAAGTTTCCAAAACGATCAGGAACAGGAAGATGTCTGGTTAAGGGAGGGAGAAGAAGCCTCTATTAATGAATGTGGTAAGGAGGAAAGAGACTTCGTTCTAACATAAGAGAATGAGTTCTGCGCTTTAACATTACACATTCTGCACTTAAAGAACTTTTTTCTATAGTAAATTCATTCATAA